ATTCCCAAATAATATTTTTTAGGTAATTGGGAATCATAAATATTTTTTGTTTGTATATAGAGAAGTAAATGTTAGATATTTTGAATATAGTGGCTAATTTTTTGTATATATCAGACTTAAAGTATTGTGTCAAATTTTATATGGGTACTTGTTTTAGTATCTAGGCTAATACCAATATGAAATTATTTATATCTGATGTAATTTTCCTTCTTAATATTGGAAATGCATGAACTTTCTATTAAGCATGTGTGGACATCGTCTTGTGCATATTGAATGTTATGTCGTGCATTATATGCCTAACATCATTTTGTTATAGTTTAGGCTAGTGAAATACTGGAAATGCATAAATTTTTTGTTGAGCACGCATGGACATTGTCTTGTGTATAGTGGATGTTATGTCATGCATGGTCTATCTAGTCATTTTTGTTAAAACCAAGGCTAGTGAAATACTTAAAATGCATAAACTTTCTATTGAGCATGTATGAATATCGTCTTGTGCATAGTGAATGTTGTGTCATGCATGATCTATTTTGTTATTTTGAGGGTTCACGCAGGTTCTGAATTCAAATCATACAAAGAGCAAGATCGTACTTTTGGTCTCAACAAAATTAACAATAATGGCCCTAAGGCCTACAAAGTAATATCAGATTCATTTAGGCTCAAATTGTAATAAAATTTATTTTTAAGGCCCTTATTGCCATTCTCCCTACAAGATATTAGTCTCTAATATTAACAAAGTGTATTTTTCATGGATGCAAAAAAGAAATAATGAATATATTATAACAAATGGTGATATTCCACTTGTCTAAAAAAGTGAGGGATTATTTTAAAACAAATAATGATTAAGTAGAGTGCAAGGATTCAATTATTTTTTTTAAAAAACAAATCAATTTTAATAAATAAAATGAAGGAATACAACAAAATAACATTAGCCTCCAACCGGAGATTTAAGTGCATGGAAATTGGAAAAAGAAAAATAAGTAGTAAAGTTGTTTCAAGAAGGGGAAAATGATAATAACTCAAATAAGTCTTCATCAACTAATACTCCAAAAAATAAAAAATATTTTTGATGGCGACTTTTAGTAATGATAAAAAAAATTATCACCAAAGGTTTACTTTTAACGGCAATAATTAAAATTTTTTGCTAAAAGTTGACCTTCAATATCACTATCAAAAGTAAATTTTTAGCAGCAACTTTTAAAGGCCCCTTAAAAGTTAGAGCTAAAAATCACTTTAATTGTTGCCGCAAAAAATAGTTTTATAAAAAATAATTAAAAATTAAAATAATTAAAAAATTTAAAAATAATTTATGTAATTAACATCAAAAGTATTTTTATAAAAAATAATTAAAAATTAAAAATAATTTATACAATTACTTTTGGCAAAAGTATCTTCATAAAAATTAATTAAAAAAATTAAAAATAATTTATATAATTATTTTAATGATGACAAACTGTTGTTGCCAAAAATATTTTTATAAAAAAATGATTAAAAAATTAAGAATAATTCATGCAATTTGTCATTGCTACAAGTATTTTCATAAAACATAATTAAAAAATAAAAAATAATTTATGTAATATTACTTTTCATAGCGATAGGTTATCGTCGCCAAAAGTATTTTCATAAAAAATAAAAAATATTTTTATAAAAATTAATTTACATAATTACTTTTAGCAATAAAATATGTTGTCACTAAAGGTATTTATATATAAAATGAGAAATAAATTATATATAAGATTAATAATGATTACTTTTAAATATAATTATCTTGTTAAGCTATTATTTTAATAATGATCTTATTTTAATCATTACATTTAAAAAAATTTTTATAATTTATTTTTTAATAATGATCTTATTAAGCTAGTATACATAATTAAGCTAAGTTACATATAAATTATACATGGACTATTTTTTTTATAATTTTTATGAATTATTTCAAAAAACTTCTTTAAATTATAATCAGGCTAAGTTATACATAAATACTTACTTACTTACTTACATACATATACATAAATAGTATTGGAATGTTTAAAGTTGTATAGATGTTGTAAGATGTAAATGGCATTGCAAACTATTTGATACTTTGCACACTTGATGCTTGGCTTGGTATATACATGGTGTCTACTCTGTTTGTTGAGCTCTACTTTTCACTACCACAGGATTATTTAAATAAGATGCTCCTTATTTGACAATTATTTAAAATAAGAAACAAATAAAATAGATGAAAATTATTTGACTATTTTTAACCATCAAGTAAAGTTAGTTGTAATATACGTTGCACTGTTACTTGATCATTAAAAACCATCAAGTATTAAGAAAAATAAGAGTCAAGTATGGTGATATTCTATGTTAGTGTTTCCTCATCCGATTCTTGTTCTTCAAATTACTCAAATTGTTTAATTTGTTAATGTTAAATTTATTGAGATTATTATTGGATGAGAATTGTAAACTTGATTGTTTAATTTATGTTAATATTTGAATTATAGATGAAATTATGCATAAACTTATTAGAGTTTATTTATTTTAAATTGTAAAGTTATTAGAAATATTCTCTATTATTTTGAGATTGACTTTGTTAAAAAGATTTCAATGAAAATCCAAATTAGTCTAAATCGAGTCAAGATAAGATTTTTTTTCTATTTTAATTATGAAATATTCATTTAGATTTTTAATTTAATTTTTTTTGTTTAGCATCTACTTTTAGTTTATCACATGTCCACTCATTTTCTATCTCAAAGATAATAAAGAATAATGGTTCAAAATAACTATTAACAAAATTTATATGATTAAAATAATTTTTTAAAAATATTTTTTAAGATAATTAAAAATTGTAGATAAAATTTAATTTTAATAAAAGAAGGGGAAGCATTTAACTTGGGAAAAGATAAAACTGTAATAATTTATTTCTTAATTTTGAGAAAAATATGGAAATATGTCAAAGATATATATGTTTAACATAAACTAATATAATACATACTTATAAATAAATTATAAAATTAATTATTTTCATTAAAAAATAAAAATAAAATTTAAAAATGGTTAAAACGTTTATAAGAAAATTATTTAATATTTAAAAATTATTTCATTTTAAGTTCATTTTCCTATCAAAATAATATTTTCTACAACAAAAATAATATTTTATTAAAAAAATATAATACACACACACACACACTCATACAAATTAACTTATCATGAAAATAAAAATAAAATATATATGTATATATTTCTAATAATAAATTATTTGATATATGTGTATGTTATTAAATAATATATATTTAATTTTGTGTATAATAACTGGAGGTGTATTTTGGTTCAATTGACAAAAAAGGAGGATTTAAGGCTTAGGACGCGGAGGTTATGGGCTCAAATCTTGACTTAGGCTTATTTCACAATAAATATGTGGCGTGGCACATGGTGGTAACATGACACAAGTTGTCAGGTGACATGGTGGGGTAACATGGCACGTGCTGTGGCATGAGGAGGTGCGCACATGGCAAGTGATATGGCACAAGGTATCAGTTGATGTAGCATGAGGAGACATTGACGTGGCATAAGATAACTTTTTTTTTGTTAAAAAAAAAGAATTTTGGTGGCCCTATTTGTCGCTACCAAAAGTCTCCCCTTAAAGGTTTTTAGCCATGATTTTTTTATCATCAAAGGTTCGCCACCAAAAGTTTGATCGTTAATGATTTTTGACAGCGACAAACATAGTGGCCACCAAAGGTGAATTTTTAATGCTGAAATACTTTTCAAGTCGACAATTGTCGCCGTTGAATGCATACTTTTGGCGATGACAAACATAGTCATTGCTAAAAATCATTAGCGACGAGACATTTGATGGCAACCCTTTGGTAGCAAAAGTCACTATTAAAAACTTTTAGTAGCGACTTTTAGACTACCAAAAGTCAGTTTTTTGTAGTATAACCTATGCATTTATATTGAAAAATAATTGTTGATTAGTAATAATTGTTAGTGGTTTCGGCTCAAGGCCACAATCCAAGATGAAAGTTTGAATCCAAATCACAACTCATCTAAGGCAAGAATATGATAAAACCTCTGTGTTTCCATATGATGCAAAGCTTGCATTGACAAAAGTTTTTGGTTTTGATTTTATAGGCCAAAATTGACCATCCAAGTTTTGAATGCCATTAGTTGGTATAGTCGAGCTACTATTGAGAGGAGGAAGACAAACTCGACCAATACCACAACTTAATCAGATAATGAATAGAATTTTTAAAGGGAGAATTTCAATTAAGGACAATGAAGGAGACTTAATTGTCGGTGGATCTTAAAAATTTTAAAACTTCAGTTCAGTTCAAGAGAGAAAAGTCAAAATAATTTTCATGGTTAAAAGACCAAAATACCCTTTACTTATTATGTAGAATCACTAGTAGTTGATTTTCTTACTTCACTTGTTATTTTACTAATATGATTTGCAAATTACGTGAGTTGATATGTCAATAATTATATAAGAATTGACATTAGCTATTCAATCATAAGCAGCAGTATTAGTTGTTTAAATTGCTAACCTTACTAGTTAATTTACAAACATCAACTATAAATTACTAACATGTCTTGTAATTTACAACTAATGTTAGTAAATTAACATAAAATTAGTAAATTAATAATTAATGTTACTGATTGTCTAATAAATGGATGTAATTTACAAGTAATATTGGTAAATAAATAAGTAAATTAAGAAAATTAACAACTAGTAATTTTGCATAATAAGTAAAGGGTATTTTGATTTTTTACCATTGAAATTATTTTGACCTTTTTCCCCTAGATTGAACTGAAGTTTTAGAATTTTTTGAAATCCACCAGTAATTAAGTCTTTTCCATGGTCCTTAACCAAAATTCTCCCATTTCAAAATTCTTGGATCAACAAGGAGGGATCAGCAATATAATGACCTCTCTATGTAAGGCTAAGTTCCTTTTCCTCCAAATTCAATTGATTAGAATAATAATATGCTTTAGTGATTCCTTCTGATTTTCCTTTGTTAGAGTGGATAGTGATTCAAGAAGCCTTGAGAAGTCTGGTCTACTTGCAATCTCTTCTGATCGAATATCTGATGCACCCAAGCCATATGTATGGCACGAACATATGCATACTTAAAGAATAGATAGGTCACTGTCTCATCATCTTTGCAATCAAATAAGAATTTCTGTTTGCAGTTGAGATGCAATTCAATTCCCATTTGAACAGAGAATTTGAACATTATAAATTAAAAAAAAATGACTTCAAAAGAATTAACTTAAAATGAGTATGATAATGCATGAATCTTATCTAATAAGTAGAGGTGATAATTTAGGTGGGTTGAGCTCAATTTGAATCAAATTATTTGGGCTAAAATATCTTCACATATAAAAAGCAAAAAAGTACATATACCTAAGTTCAACCTTAACACTTTTGATTTTTGGATTTATTTGTGCGAGCCCAAATACCCAAATTGCTAAAGATTATTTTATTCTATTTTTTGTACCAATTTCAATTTCTACTTTAAAAATTAAAATTTTTCAAGCAATATAACACTACAGTGCACCTTTTTTTTTCCTACCCTTATTAATGTGAGACCAAACATTAAAAATGTAAAAAAGAAAATATATAAAGTAACCTCTTGTCTCTTTGTTTTATTAAAATTTTCAAAAACAGAAATCAAAACAAACAATTATTGGAACATTGAAACTTCATTTAAATGAATGAAATGTGCAAATTGGGAG